AAAAAGTGCCACCCCCCCCCCGGTTTTGACGCCTATGTACATTGAGAGAGTAAATTTCTTAAATCGCGCCTGTTACTTATTATATATACATGTAATTCATTGTTCTATGATGCTGTGAGTTCCTTTAACTTTTTCTGGTTCGTGACATACACTAGTAGTTTGTTTGTTTGTTTTTGTACAATTAAACTGACAAGAGGTCAAAACTATAATGATTTCGGTTAACGATCCAGTGTATGTACAATTGCAGGGGATATGTCTTCTGTATTGTATATCTGCATACGTTCTTGAATATCTCTCTGAACGCAACAAAATAAACTATTTACAAACACACACAAGTTAAATTGATGCAAAGCATCAAATCGGCCGCGAACAAAATTCTGTATTTTAAAAAGTAATTTCACAATTAAAAAAGCATCTATCCTAGGAAAGAACACGATATTCAAAGCTGAAATAGTGATCATTTTTATTTCAGACTGCCTTCAAAACAAAATAAATAGTTTAAAAAATAGATAAGTAGAAAATTTAGAACATTTGCTCATAAAATGGATTTATCGATGTAATAATTTTAATGAGGATTGATAAGAATTTATTGTCATCAAAATGAAGATGTAGGCCTCTCAAGATGAACCACCTGGATCTTTGTCACATGATAATGTCACTGGATTCTGCAGGATAGGCTATGCTGCAAGACCGGTGCAAAATGAAGAGATATTATCCTTATGTCACTCGCAGCTCTAACATATTCAAAACAATTTTTTACAAGTTGAACAACTTTTCAATTCTTATTCATGCACTTTTACAATATGTCATTATTATCCGGAAAATCATGACGATTTTCTTCCATATCTTACACACTCCCAAGTCAGGGAGTACCTATTGTAAACTCTTTTTTGTATAACCATAAATTGTCAATTATCTGACGAGAAATGACTTTGAAGTTGAAACATAATTAACAACAATTAATACTTAGTTTAAAACAGTTTTTAAAAATATTTTACTCATGATTTTACACGTTATCATTTAAAAATTATTTTACTGAACTAATACAAAAAAAGAACAATCTCATTTCCCCATGTGCCCTTTCTAACACAATCACAAATAGATCGGCCGCTGCTGTGGCCGATGATAAAAAGAAATCAGTCATAGAAAAATCTAACGTTAACCAAGTAGCTACAAGGAAGTTTTTGATACGTCATGATATTAAAAGATTATTTCTATTTAATTTATTTAAAAAAAAAATGTATGCGTTTTAAGTTTCTCTTTAATATGTATTGGTTGAAAAAATTCTCCCTATAGCTCGTAAAGCAGTGGAAAGGGAGAGAAAAAAAAATCCGTACTGAAGCAGTATTTCTCTGGTGGAAAATCAAGTCGGGATTGTTTGTTAGATGCTAACGGGAAATTCTAGTATGCCAGGCTTCTGAAATTGGTGGTGTCTTTAAACTCAAGCTCTTTTTTCTGGGGGAAAATGTGGGATATATATGGTTTTTGACACGTATCCGCGTGATTTTACTACGCCCCCCCCCCCCCCCCAAAAAAAAAAAAAAAAAAAAAAAAAAAAATTTAGGAGGGGCGTATAAAATGTTTGGATTTTGATTGAAACCGAGAGACATAAGTATAATTAATTAATGCACAGAGATTTTATATGAGCGACATGTATATTAAATATGAATAATAAACTTTAAGGCATTTATAAATCCAGCAATCTATCGACTTTAGTTTGATTTCGCCAAGTAATACACATTTACCTTGTCCTGGAGTAATATTTAGTGGGCCGCATTTCATTTCCGGGATTTAAAAAAATAAAATAAAAAAAAAAAAACTTTTCATTTCCGACAGTTTTTACATTTTAAAAGTTTTCATCTCCGACATTTGTCAAATTCATGTCAGTATTTTTTCGGCAATGAAAAAAAATCATACTTCCGTCATAAATAATATTATATAATACATATATACAATACCCAGTTAAAAATCTATTTCCATCTTTGTTATATATGTTAACTTAAAGTGCCATAAAGGTATCTTTTAAAAAATCCAAAAATGTGAAAAAAATAATAATGTCGGAAATGAAAATAAAAATGTCGGATTCCGAAATAATAACAAAAATTGTCGGAAAATGTAATGCAAAATTCAGGAAATGAAATGCAGAGATCTAGTAGATATAATTATTAGCCTTTGAATAGGTAAGAAACTGTTAACTTATAAAAACACAGGGAATATGCTACTTTAGGTTTTCTCAAACGAGACAATTATAGACTAACCCCTAACTGCCCAATCCGCAGGCATGTTGTTTTTACAATAACGGGTGTAGGGTAGTACACCGTGACATAAGCCCCTGTCACAGTGACCCCCCACTTATTGACAACAATATTAAACGTAAAGAATGACAGATTTTTTTATTAATACTATAAAGAAATATATTTTGAATGATGTGAATTTACTTTTGCGACTGGAAGTCGGACGTTTATCATGTACTTATTGGAAAGAGAGTGTAAATAAATGATTTGTGTTGGACTTACGAACATTCATCTGTTCATTGCATACTGATTAATCTGCCAGTAAACAGGCGGTGAAGGTAAATGTATGTACATTTGTATTCTTAATATTTTTTAAAATGATAATGTTGATACCAGTGTATTTAAACGACAAAATAAGCATGTTCCATCTTCCCGACAGGAAACTCGATCAATAAATCTATACATTGCTTTAATAAATACATTATTTATGTATTAATTTCTTACTTGTTGTTTATTACATTCTCTTGGAGGAAACACTAGCTATTAACACGACTTTATATCCTCAATTAATTTTAAAACAGTAGTTTTTCAATTAATATCGAATGAACACAGGCATACAATTTATATAATAGGTCGAGGGCGGACCTTTTCTTATAGAGCCAGGCGGACCTAATATGTTATCGTATTTGGTCCGGCCGGACCTTTAAACGAGGCGGACCAAATATTATGCGACACCGGTCAAAACCCCCATAAGCCATAGTATTGATAAAGAAGGCGGAACTCTCCGTAGTCAATTTAGTATTAAACATAGGCCTAACAATTGGTATGAAACAAGTCATCCACAATACGACCCAGTGATAGGTTACTAGTATATGGACTAACAAGGTCTTAATAACAGTTATTTTACGAGGTTGATGAAATCCCTGAAACATCAACTTATTAGTGAGTAGCTATCCTCTCTTTAAAACTGGATCATACTCAGAGTAAGCTGTTGATTAGCAAAGAATTAAAGAAACAAAAACGCCAATATATGTCCTAAAATTTATTATGGAAAGTTAACGATGGAAAAAGTTTCTTGTTTGACATACAATATAGTCGTTTGAAGCCTTTGTCGTCTGTACATAGTCAATTAAATATGAAACAGATATGGCAGACTCTTATTTCAAGTTCACTGATATTTCGAGTCGACTTACAAATGAAAATAACTAAAAAAAAAACCATCGACATACCCAGTATCTGAATGAATCAAATTGATTGATTGAATATTGTTTAAAGACCCTCTCAAGAATTTTTCACTCATATGGAGACGGCACAACTTGCCAGTGGAGAGCAGCAAATTTTGTCCTATACTCGGCACTTAGGCCGTTTGAGCAGTAAGGAGCAGTAAGGAGCAGTAAGGGATCTTTATCGTACCAGAACCTCCTGCAACACGGGACCTCGCTTAAACGGTCTCATTCGAAGAACAGGTCTCCATTTCCCACAGTGGGATTCGAACCCGCGACGTCAGGATCAACTCCTTTAACTTCGTGACTCTACAGCAGACGCTCTAACCGCTGTGCCACGCAGACGTCTGAATGAATTGAAGGTCACGGCTAAATTTCGCCTACTTACTGAGTTTTTGAGTAAAAACTGCTTCGTGGTAAAATAAGAATATGTTGACTAATAACGGAGCACCATTAAGTGCCCATTGATATTCAGACAGTTTGTTGGAAATTGATATCAGAAGATACATAAATCTTCTCATTAAGAAACTTTAGTATCCTTCAAATTTCAAACTACATGTGTGTAAAATTGACAGAGGAATATTCTTATATTTTTTTCTGCAATAATTATTACGAATTGCAACTTGATCTACTTATCTTCTTTAAAAATATTTAATATTTAACCTTCATGATACTCCAAATTTCTAATCTGCAGCTTTTTAGCTGTGTTTGAAATCGCATAATGCTAAAAAAATACATTATTTCACGCTTCTCTGGTGTCTGCTAAGGCAATCAAAGTATTGTGTATTGTAAACTCCACCGCCCAACCCTATCCGTTTAAAAGATTGATTGATTTATTGTATATTGTTTAACGTCCCTCTCGAGACCGTTTAAATTAGAAGTGTACATTTTTTTAAAGAAATGATTATTTTCTTTTAAATATACAATTATCTTTCCGTGTTTTTCATTAAATATTAAAAGCTTTCAATTGAATTTGAAATATTTTGCAATTGTTTTAAAATGTTTGTAGTGTAGCTTGATTTTATTTTCAAGGTGCAGCAAAGCATTAAAATTTACGAACGGGAGCCTTTAACCTTTGCTGTGATGAAATGAATTTTTATAACAATTTGTTGTCGGAAAAAAACAATATTTTGAGGGTCCATAAGGCAACCTGAACAGCGTTTAATCACTGTATCATTTTTATATGAAGACTAATGGGTCTTTAAATTGATATAAAAATCCAATAAATTTAAATTTAGCAACTCACATACATGTAGAGTTAAACATAAAAATAAAATTGTTCCAAAATGATTGAAAATTTGTAAAAACTTACCACCTTTTGTGTATTTTTTTTTTAAATTTTATGTTAAACACATGCTTGTATTTACATGTACGAGAGTTCCATTTACAACACACCAAAATGTGTATTCTTATATGACAAAAAAAAAAAAATAAAGTCAAAGAAGTTTTAAAGACGGGTTGCGAGAACTACCTACTTTGGTTTTAAAATTAGAGACAGAAAATACTTGTAAAGATTAAAAAAATTCGAAAATGTTATTTTCAGGAAATGACCTCATTCACAAACTAACAGTGGAAATTAAAACTGCATTGTATGTTGCCATAACATTGACTAATGGAACAACCCTTTATGAACGATATGACCAGTTCTACATCACTAATGACACTGATGGCTACAGACTTAACCTGAAGGGAAACGCTACAGGGAGTCTTGGTATGGACAATGATTATGATTTTTTTTTAATGCATGTGTTCAACATCATTAATTTTGTATTTTGTTATACCTCTAAAAAATTGTTTCTATACAAATCTATACGAAAAAAGTCCAACATATCTAATGTTTTGCTAAGCGGGCAAAAAAAATCGATGTTGGACCGGTCGATGAGATGTTGGACCGCTAATGGGCGGAGCTTCATCTCATTTTCATTCGTTGGTGTTTAACAGTGACGAATCTGAGGTTACATCACGGAATACAGTTTAAAATACATGTATGTAGAAAGAATTAAACATTTATTGACGGAGTTCTCGGTCAAAATGCATTTTGTCGATCCTCGAACCAAACTGTCTGCCTGACGCCGTTTGGTTCTTGGATCCGACAAAACGCATGTTGCCCTAGAACTCAGACAATAAATGTATATTATGTTTGTTTGTATGTTGTTTAACGTCCTCTCGAAAATTTTCACTCATATGGACGCCACCACTTACCGATGGGGAGCTGCAAATTTTGACCTATCCCCGGCATTTTTGGTAATTGAGCAGTAAGGGATCTTTTTCGTGCCAACTGAGACATGGTACCGCACTCTATACATGTACAGTCTAATCCGAAAAAGCGTTCTCCACATCCCATATTGGGATTCAAATCTGCGTTATGCGGGCAACGTTTGTGTACATTTGAGACCCATTAAGCCAATAACTCTATTCATCCGGGCGCTTCAGTTTGCAAAATATTTGGGGAAGGGGATTTATTGACGGAATCTTGTTATACAGTATAAAATTAACGCAAAAGGGGAAAAAAAGAGAATTTATACTTGTTCTCGTCATTCATTTGGACAATATACACTTTACAAATGATAAAAAAGCTGATGATTGATGTTTATAATTGATGTTCTTTACTTGAATAGGAAATAGTATGACGCCCCCTAATAGATCCTGGAATCTCAATGGAATAAAATTCTCCACAGCTGATAGGGACAACGATATGTGGTCAGGAGGACCATGTGGAACTCGGGAAGGAGGCTGGTGGTTCAATCATTGCTCACTAACATTTTTGAACTCCGACTACTGGTATCCACCGTGGGCGCCAACGGTGCCTAGTAGATCAGATGTCCGTGAAACTATGATGATGATTAGATAAATTCTTCATTTTTCATGTTTTTAAACTGCAATCATCAGTATATACCACAGGATCATATGCTGTCCCTCTGATAGACAGCGTATGTCTTGTAATGATTATGCTGAATCAGTGATAAAAACATAATCATCTGTCTTTGAAACTAGATCACAAATTGATGTTAGCCAATAAAATACTTATAAAGTTAATTTTCTCGAATGTTTTATTGTTTTATTTTTCAAAATATATTTTTAAACGTTCTCAATTAAAGACTCAAATGCATGTCTGATATATTGAGTCTGTTAATAAATGCAAAAAATATTTTCTGTCAAATGAAATTGATTGATAAATTTACGAGAAAAAACTATAAGTCGGCCAACGTACATTGTATCTTTCATATATCTGATTATTTTGTACCCCTTCGTGATATATAAAATATGAAGAAACATGCCATGTTTCAAGCATCTTTTTGTTGTTGTTCTCTTCTTTAGTGTTTCCTCATCCGCGTGTATTGTAAGAACTTCTCAAAGCCTTCTACAACAGTGCACGCTCAAAACAACATTGCTGAAATTCGTAGTTTTTATATGGATGTACCTTTTAACCATTTTAATTTGTGATTAAAAATTTAATTTATTAGGGTTGTCCATAATGTTTGCAATGTTTTTTTTTTTTAATTACTGTATACAGGGTTATTTTTGCCCCGTTTTATTTTTGCCCTTTTACGCTTGCTTACAAATTGCCCCGCTTTAAATTCGCACAGTCCCAGTTCTGCTTAAGAAATGATACTGTGTTAGTGAATTCGCCCCGTTTTATATTCGCCCGGCGAAAGGGGCGAAAATAAAACGGGGTCGAAAATTTCCTTGTATACAGTAATGATCACAAGTCCAAATGTGTGCGATATCATTTTTGTGTGGTTCATGATTTAGTTAATATATATAAATGAGTGTATTTACATTTGCCATCATATGACATGTACGATGTTTTTTAAGTTATGAAGTATTGGTCGTTATCAAAGTTTAAATGTGTTGTGTTTTTGAACAATATTTGCAGTTATATAATTGTAATTCCTCTCTATTGTTGATTTTATAAGTAAAATTGCGTAAAAATATTACATGTAGTCTTCCACAATTATTTTTATTTATTACACACTTAGTAATAAATACAGGTTTTTGCATATGCGATATGGCTGACGTCACAATAGCCGTGCAGGGCTGATATGGATTTGCAGGGCTGATAACCTATATCAGCCCCGCAAATCCATATCAGCTCTGCAGGGTTGATACGGCTATTGTGACGTCAAATCAAATCCTCAGTAAATTAAACCACAAAAACAGTACTTGTGATCATACACAATTTTTGGGCCCTCTGGCTGATATTGGTGTCTCGGGCTGATACAGGATGTGATATGGAAAAGGGTATGTATTATTCTCTATATACATGCATTTCTTTTTAAAATTTCAAATTCAAATTTACATGTATTAACTACTATTGACCATCTGCTCTAAATTTCATAATGTAAAAAAAAAACATTAACATTGATTTTCATTCTGAGATAATATAGCATGAGCTTTAAATGTAAAATAGTATGAGGTATGAAGCTCTACCTATCTTTTCAGAAATGATTTTTTGTCAAATCATGATAATATTATAACCAGGCCTTCCAATAATCTATTGGAATTCCCATGGGGAACATTGCGCTCCGTTATTAGCAGACCTATTTTTGTATTCATATGAAGCAGAATTTATGCAAAATCTTATGCGTGAAAAGAAGAAAACACTTGCTGTGGCCTTCAACTCGACCTTCAGATATATCGACGACGTATTGTCAATTAACAATGGTAATTTCCATTCCTACGTCGATACGACATATCCAGTCCAGGAGAGCTTGAGATAAAAGATACCACAGAGTCTGACACATCTGTTTCATACATGGATATTTTACTTGAAAAAGACGTTAATGGTAATCTAACAACCAAGTTATATGATAAACGTGACGACTTTAACTTTTCTATCGTCAACTTTCCTTACTTATGCAGCAATATACCTTCATCACCTATATACGGAGTGTATATATATTTGATTCGATACGCGAGAGCAAGCTCTACGTATGAACAATTTCTAAAACGAGGTAAATTATTGACAAGCAAGTTGATGAAACAAGAATATCGAATATCAGCAGTCTCGTTTAAAGTCATCATTTCGAAAGTTCTATGGTCGATACAATGACCTTGTCAGCAAATACAATTTATCATTGAGTCAAATGCTGACTGAATTTTTTCATACCAATTGTTAATCCATTATTTTAACACTGATTTGACAACAGATTTTTCCGATATTTCACGATCATGACAATGAGCTCACGGCGGGTGTGACCGGTTTGCAGGGTATGCTCATTCCTCCATGGCACCTGATCCCACCTCTGATGTTTCAGAGGTCCGTGTTTGCTCTGCTCCTATTTTGTATTTTTTTTTAATGGACTTTGATATTGAATACTGTTCTTTATCTCCATATCCTTCATGAAGAAAAAATTAACATTGAGAATAGAAAAAGTAACGATGTATTATCACAACATGAAATAAAAACTTTGAGGTGTATATGAAAAATGATATTTAGTTTCATACCTATTAAAGCCATATTAGAGAAAACATGATGAAGCGCTGCTTCCTAAGTCAGAATCTCCCTATCTTGTGTGTGGTTATAAGAAAAAAACTTATCTGTTACATGCAGCAAAGAGTTATCTTTCTTCTAAATATTTTTTTCATAGGGATAAATTCTAATACTTCCAAAAATTCTGTATTTGGTACTTGAAGCAATAAAATTTCAAAATGATCCTTAAAATGAAAGAACTTCAATTCATAAGGCGTTTAAGACTGGACTTAAAAATTTCTGTTGAAAAATAATAAAACAATTAAAAAGAAACTGAGAAAAGAAATACGAGATAATGCTTCCATCACATGTAAGTTTTGGTCAAATTGACTACTCATAGGTCTCAATAACGAAACTCTGATAAAGAAAACTATGAGTATTATTCATCTCTTGAACCAGTGGCCTATATACTAAGTATATAGTGTATAGGTCCCTGCTTGAACTATGAAAGAACAAGGTTCACGTTTGCCTTATTTGGCCCTGTGAATTTCTGGAAAACTGAAACTGCATAGTTTTAGTTAACAATGCATTGAATAGCACTTATATCTTTTTTCTTCACTGAAAATACTCAATTATACCCGTTTACCTAGGAATTCAAGAACATTGCAATTCATAAAGCCGCTTACCTAAGATTTAGAAGAAAATTTTTAAACAGGAAATGAAAGCATAAAATCTCTATTTTATTTTAATGCTTAAAATGGAAAATCAATTGTTAATCAATTAATTGGTATATCTAAAGGGTAATTTTATGCATAAAGTAAACCGAGCTCTTTATCACACTTATCAGAGGGTCGGTACCCCTTAAACGAGAAAAAAATAGTAATGCTGCTACATGTATTAGTAATATTTTAAAAAATATATATATATTTGCACAGTTCTATTAAAAAATAAGGTATCATTTTTAAACACCTATCGGGATATAAATACGGGTTGGTCACGAAATTAAATTCTATAAAGCCCAAAGGGCATTATGATGAATTTAATCTCGTACCAACCCCTATTTATAGCCCGATAGAAGTTTTAAAACCATACCTTATTACTTATATTTACATTTGTAACTTAAACATACTTTATATTGGCCTGATTGTGACTTTTAACGTGTGAAATGCATTATTTTTCAAACCCAATGTAATTCACTGAACGCGCGTCGACCGTTTATGACGTCACTGAGAAATTATGCCGAAGTTTATCCAATACCCACATCTATGGCATCTGGACCCCATACCGGTATTTATACAGTTATAGATACGCATTGCTTTCAGTAGTGATACATAAAGGAAAACATTTGCAAATGTAAATATTTATTAATATCATTGATTTATATATCTTAGATCTTGAAGATCATTGTGTGGAATACATTTCTCGTGTATTTATAATTTATCTGCAATAAAAACTTATATTCTTTCATTTTTTTGTGTGAAGAATTTGTTTTATACCAAAGCTAGGAATCTGAAGACTCCACATATGACATGTGTTTAGTATCTCTGAAGATTATCCGAGGGACACTATATAATATATATGAACTATAGAACAAAAGATAGGCTGATCCGAATGCTTTGATAAACTAGAGAGAACACGTTGATTTGATTAAAACTAGATACTATATGTAAATGTAGCTCAAGTAAATTTTTGTTAAAGTAAACACAACTTCGATCGAAATATAAAAATAATTTGAATGTAATATATAACGAAACAAAAAGTTAAGCGTACTATGAATTCAAGATTTAAATATACTAAAATTGCAGTAGAAATCCATTTTTATAAAGTAGACATTCTTAGGGTAGATCACTCGTCAGCTTTTTGAAAAAGTTCACGCAGAACCTCTTACTTCAAAACTGTTTATCAAAATTCAATTTTTATATCATATCTAATTTCAACAATGTTTATGTCTTAACATTCAACGAAAGAACTGCTCAAAAACCTACAAAAAAAGCAAGACTTGTGAGGCACTATTTCTTGTGGTGGAAGGATATTTAGCAGATAATTCTGCAAATCTGCACATCTATTAAATTTAAAATCTTGGAACTTTAGCCTCACATACTTTTACTCGGAGAATATTTTCCATTATGATATTGCTAGGATCATTTAATATAGGTCTTAATTTATATTTTTAGAACACGTTTTACACCTTCCTTCAACAAACGTTGCCAAAAAATGAAGATGTGTCTAAAAGGTCAATACAAAATTTACATCATTGTTTGCCTGAAAATCACATATTTTGACCAATATTTCAAAATTAACATCACTGACCCCAACCTTTTCTTTCATTATTTTATAGTACTCGATACTTGTGACTGATCAGCACTTAAGTCGTAAAAAGCTTGATTTCAGAAAATGTTTTATTGCCTATTTAGTTTTTTAAAAACCCAAAATATGTTACTTTGTAGTGCAAAAAGGTCACACAAAAATTTACGCGAAATTTTTTCAATGATAAATAATATACAATTATAGCCTTTTGATGAGGTCAGTACCTCGATATATAGACCTTAGAGAAAGCATATGGACCGAGCGCGAAGTGCGAGGTCGATATGCTTTCTCTAAGGTCTATTGAGGGATTGTACTGAATCAAAAGGCTACAATTGTTTTATTATTTTTTATCAGTTAATAAGAAATGTCTTAATTAAAATCCTTCTTTCTAATACTCAGTACCTTCCGATACAAGGCATCGTTATGTCATTTGCATTGTGACGTCACAGTAATGAAAACCAGCTGCAGTATCTGTTTTTAGAAACATCCAGCCTATAAAGACTATTGTGACTTCACCACTATTGTTGCTTCACAGAAGAACGTTTCCAATTTTAGAAACAGCAGGTTTATAAATTTTTAAAATAGAAACATCCAGTCCATACAACTTTTATACTTGATCATGTGATCTAGTTTGAGCCAATCAGAGAGTTGATACAATATAGAAAAATAATAATATTCCAAATATTTTACGTTAAATAGGATAATAATTTTTGCACTGGTTACAACTGATAAAATATAATTAAGGTTTAAGTAATTAACCAAAGAATTAAATTTTAAGTGCAAAAAGGTCAACTTTATTGTTCCGTCGATCAGTAAGATGCACACTGACCGCCTATTTTCTCTGCGATTTTGAGTCACTCTATATGAGTACTTATCCAAAATATACTTCTCAATAAATCCTTGATTTAACAAATTTCACGAGTGACATACCTTAAAGTGTGTGACTAAACTTCTTACTTAAATGTATAAACATTTACTCATCGAAAATAATATATAAAAATGGTTCTCTACCACTTATAATTTGTAAAGAAAGATTTGGAACTTGCCATTTTCAAAGTGTTGCAAAAGTTATTTTTCAATATGTATAAGTTCTAGTACATAGTATAAACATCTAAAATAATATGTAAAACGGTTCTGTATCACTTAACATAATTTGTAAAGAAATATTTGGAGCTTGCCATTTTTCAAGTGTTGCAAAAGTCATTTTTCAATGTGTTAAGCCTTTGATAAAAGATTTATTTAATGAAGAAAAAACCCGTTGTTCGTGAGAAAAAAATGATATTGTGATTTTAATTTTTTTTTTTAAAAATAATATTAATGAAATTTTTCAGTATCTTCCTTTACCAATTTCAAAGAAGAATAGTTCCTAGATTATTGGTAGAAGATTTGTTAAAACCTGCTTTGTAATTTTTTTTCGAAGTTTTTAACGGTATCCAAATAAAGGAATGTTATGTAATTTGAATATATTTTGTTCGTGAGAATTTTCTGTGTTTCTACTATACTCTGTATGTTTTGTTATTCAAATCATTTTTAATGAAGAATATTTGATAGATTAATGAATGCTAAATGCTTTTTTAAAATTATTTTTCTTTTATAGAAAAGGAAGCGGTTTATAAAAAAGCGTAAACTGTTCCAACCCAGTTTATACCGTATAAAATGGGTAGCTATTAAATTCATCGCTTATAATTTAATTTTCATTCATTTGATGTAAGAAAAAAAGATGATTGTTCTAACAAAATGACTTTAGTTTGTATAAAATTTGAATGTAACGTCAGGCGGATTGATACGTTTTTGACGCAAGTCATTGTGACGTAGGCAACCCATTTTATACGATATGAAATAAATTTTTTATCCAGTCAAATACAGCGTTACAACCAGAATTAAATTATTTCGTAATAAAGCACGTAGATACATACGCGTACAAAAGAACATATATATCTAACTCATGATAAATACATGTAATGTATAGTGATAACCGACCATTTTAGTGTTTTGAACTTAAACATTCTTTTTAATCATTTTATATCAATTGAACTTTAAAAGAGTAAAATCATTCGATTAAAATAATTACTTAAATATCAAAATCATTCGATACTAAAAATAACGAAAATCGAATACAGGAGAAAAATACCTATCATTCATTTTTTTTTTAAAATCTCCACTGCAGGGAAGGAACAAATTTATTGTTAAATGAAATATTTGAGGGAAATTATATAAATTTATATTAAAAGGCAGTTTGTAAAAGGAATCATTAACAATATATCGGTATACAACAATAAACAACTGATTTCCGAAACATTAAAATTTTCTCACTGAGATTTCTGCAATCATTACCCTTACTGGGTGTATCGCTATTTCACTCGTGTTTTGGACTGCAGTTAATTCCAAAATTCGAGAAATTCGTTTCATTCGTGGACATTTTTCCAGAGGATATATCTGAATTTAACGAAGTATGTTTATTAATGTGCACAGTAGAATGTGCTAAGGTTTCGGCCTGTGTTGCAATATTGTATAGTCCGGGTCTTCAATCCTGCAAACCACTTCATCAGTATCTTAACAAAAACTTCGCAAACAATTCTAAAGAATCTGGACTCTGGAGGTATTATACATTTCCATATGGTACGTATAAACAATTTTTGCTTTAAAATGATTTTTCCTTGTTTAGAAATGTTTAGAATATTACTTGTACTGTGTATTGGTTTTTTTCAAAGCGTCCACTTGTTTGGAGTTACGTGCCCTTGTCCCACCTTTATCGGGTATATACAGAATATACCCCTGGAGGGACAGACAGAGACCTGTAGACGTGTACTGTGATATGAGGACAGATGGAGGAGGATGGACGGTTTGTTAATGGCTGAAATATCATAAAATTTAAACTGTACTGCGTAATCTGCATATTTCCGAATTCTTATTTAACCAACAATGGCTCGTGAACGGGATTGGTGATTCTCTAGATATCAGTTACGAAGTTGTTTTTTAAGATTTATGAAAAAAATCATATGATATTATTACTGTTATAAATTACTGATTTTAATTCATTTCCTTCTGCTTGTTAGCTACTGAAAAGAAACAACAAACAAGCGTAAATTTAACACAATTAACAAAAATATCTAAAAGTAAAAATCACCTACTTTTGGAAAATTATCTGTAATTTCCTATACATTGCTATCTTTCTTAAATTACTTATTATATACAGGCTATACAAAGACGAGTCTATGACCCTGTGCGATTTAACAGAACATGGAGTGAGTACAAATCAGGGTTTTGATCGGCAGAAACGGAATACTGGCTAGGTAGGTAATTAGCACAGAGAGAAAACGCATCGAACACGCATATTCACAAAGGAATGACGATCTTCAATGATACTGGTTAGGTAGGATGTGTGTTGTTTTATTAATATTACAGTCTTTTTTGAGTTTGTTGAGAAATTGTTCATCAACAAGTTTTATATATAACTATTCTTTCATGGAAAAAATCAGTATAATACTCGTAGAAATGAATTTCGTAAACGGATTTTACGAGTGGACAGGTATGTGTTTTACTATCTAGAAAGCCATTTGCTTTGTTTTATGACATTTTTGGCTTATATGCTACAGACAACTTTGGTAGCAAATTAGCATTTTAAAAATTTATTCCTCGGTGGAAAAAGGGGGATTTTTTTTGCTGTCAAATGACAGAAAAACGTAAATGTGCAGGCAAAGATCAATAAAGCAATTTGCTTAGGTTTATTATAAATTCCATAAAATTTAAATTTAGCAACTAAAATGTCACAAATGATTGAACATCTATTAAAGACCCAATTTTTTTACCGTACGGTTACCTGAGGAGGGGGAGTGGTCGAAGTACAAGTGATGTTATTTACCTGGAGACCCCCAATACCCAAGATGTAAAAAATCTCTGTACACGTAGCAGTACACATGAAGTCTGTGTTTGGTAATCAGGGTCAACTTTACGTGTTTTGTGTCTAGTTTTGAGTGAAACTACGTAAAATAATTATTCTAATATGAACTTTATTTTGTAAACTAACAGCATTCATCGTAATGTTTTGAAGGAAAAAAAATATAAAGATATATTGTTTTATAAAATGTTTTCTTTAAATTAAAGAAAAAATCACGACTAAAAACTACGAAGAAATAACGTTTATTTTTTTTTAATCTTCAATAAAAGAAATCACCATAATAAAAAAAAAACTCTGAATATTGAAATAAAAAATAATTAATCCATTTATCGTCGTGCATGTGAACATTTACCGCGATCGGATTTTAAAAAAATAATTTTCTGGCCAACAATTTCCAAAATATTCAATATTTTCGATTGTTCGTGTGTTAACAAAATTTTATTGTTAGAAAGATTTCTCTTCAGAATCGATCACTATTAATTATCTTCACCTTTTCATTACGAATATAGACAGACACTAGAGGAAATTCGAGTATTAATTCTGACATAAATTTCTGTACTACATCGTGCATATTCATCATCGTAGCCTTTGTACAAAACAAAACATCTTTTGTAAACTATATGACGATAATGCTGAATATTTTTCTTATATCCCATTTCTTAAAAAATAATTTTAATCGTCGGACGTCCAATGATTACAGCAAACTGAGCCGGTTTCTGTGGACGGTCTTTTTTCTACAGGTTTCGTGGACGATAAAACACTTACAAGTAACAAACAGCAGTGAAGATAGAAAAGAAATATTTTATGATGTCAATGTTTTAATTATATACGTACTTTCGATTTTTTTTTAAATAAAATTCAAACGTATGGAGTTTTCTAACCCACGTGTATATACACTACATATAAGAGGGTTTCCTTTATTACACATCAAGTTCCTGATATTCTAATATCTAATGAAAAAAAATCATATCGATGTGACCTTTGAATAATCTTGTCAAAAGTTAAAAGCCTATGGCTAGTACTATGAAGGATGATCAAAAAGTTTGGGAACTAATTGAATAACTTCCATAAAAGAAACAATATTTCAATGTTGATTATATTTTAGATAAGTCATATCCAAATTTAATGCACATCTGCCACCAGTCTGCTTATGCGCGAATCACGTGATATATGCGCTCACGTGACCCCTACCGTAGCGTTCTGTCAGAAAAGCTGAAAGAGTTTAAAGCTGAACACTTCTCATAAATAGGCACTGTCAGACGGGTATATAAACCGTTCGCTTTCGTTATACCCGATTGCACACTCGAAACTCGTGGCCTACATGTAGTACTCTTATCGTGGTCTTAGATTTTTTACGTTTATCTCTTGTTTTTATGTGCATTTTCTGTTTGTAAATAATGTATTGACCTGTATTTTCCATGATACTTTTGTCCTGTTTCGGAAAAAATGCGTAAAATTTGATAATTTCATCGATATTGAGTAGCACGCTTTGTAAGATATACGTCTACACTCGTCGGATCTCTATAGTGAAATACATTGAACTGACTAGCGATCTGCTCCTTATATACGAGTTGTAGGGAGAGCGTTGAAGAACGGGAAATATGGCGGACAATGCCTATTTACGAGTAGTGTTCAGCTTTAATATTTCTTTCCATGTAAGTTAATTTTTATAACAAGAACATTTCATTTGTTGGAAATGGTCAAATCTCGGCGACTGAATGGGTGGATAAGAATATCCTTTCCAAAAATAAGCATGGTAACCATCAAAACTCAAATCTTCTGTCTCGGGAGGATGAACGTTTGATAGAGAATGGGTGCCTCCTTTTTATAATATCTTACATGTTTGAAATCTAAAGTAAACGATATCTTCGGTATTCTAAAAAACAAATTATTGTTAAGATATTCAACTATTTCTCAGCCTGTAATTTGGAGGTCTTTGATAACAAATTGCATAATTAAAATGCATCTCCTTTCAAATTTGCTTTCACTGGGCAACATGCTTCCCTCCTCAAGGTCAAGATCTAGTAAATGAAAGGTGCCTACAGATTTATCAAATCTGAGAAATAAATTCCTATATTGATGCTTTATAACTTAAGCTTGGTCAAATAAGGTGTTTCGGGGTATAATTTGTAGGTAACCAGTCATGAGTATGGGAGTTTTCTTCATATTCGACAAAAGAAATGTATTCAGATTGCCTACAGTCTCTCAGAAAACGGTAATTAGTATGTTCATGACTTCTTCTTTATATCAATATAAAATTTAATATAGGTATCCAGTTTACTTTTCATATGATTTCAAATTGAATGTCATGAAAATACCCTATTTTCTACATAATTCTGCTAAAGCCGTAAAGTACGGGAACAAGAAAGTTGAAATTGATTATGACGTCATAATGGATCTAGTACCAAAAAATTAGTCTAAAGTTATTTACTAGATCTTGACCTTAAGGTATGTCACTCGTGAAATTTGTTAAATCAAGGATTTATTGAGAAGTATATTTTGGATAAGTACTCATATAGAGTGACTCAAAATCGCAGAGAAAATAGGGGGTCAGTGTGCATCTTACTGATTGACGGTACAATGAAGTTGACCTTTTTGCACTTAAAATTTAATTCTTTGGTTAATTACTTAAACCTTAATTATATTTCATCATTTGTAACCATGGCAAAAATATATTATCCTAATTTACGTAAAATATTTGGAATATTATTTATCATTGAAAAAATTTTGCAAATTAATGCGCGTAAATTATTGTGTGACCTTTTTGTACTACAAAGTAACATATTTTGGGTTTTTAAAAAAACTAAATAGGCAATAAAACATTTTCTGAAATCAAGCTTTTTACGACTTAAGTGCTGATCAGTCACAAGTATCGAGTACTATAAAATAATGAAAGAAAAAGTTGGGGTCAGTGATGTTAATTTTGAAATATTGGTCAAAATATGTGATTTTCAGGCAAATAATGATGTAAATTTTGTATTGACTTTTTAGACATATCTTCATTTTTTTGGCAACGTTTGTTGAAGGAAGGTGTAAAACGTGTTCTAAAAATATAAATTAAGACCTATATTAAATGATCCTAGCAATATGATAATGGAAAATATTCTCCGAGTAAAAGTATGTGAGGCTAAGGTTCCAAGATTATAAATCTAATAAATGTGCAGATTTGCAGAATTATCTGCTAAATATCCTTCAACCACAAAAAATAGTCCCTCACAAGTCTTGCTTTTTTGTAGCTTTTTGAGCAGTTCTTTCATTGAATGTTAAGACATTAACATTGTTGAAATTAAATATGTTAAAAAAATGGAATTTTGATAAATAGTTTTGAAGTAAGAGGTTCTGTGTGAACTTTTCCAAAAAGCTGACGAGCGATCTACCTTAAAACGACCAATAAATCATTGATTAAATTTATAGGAAGTCTTTTATCTTCATAAACTGTGTACAAATTATTATTTGCTATTGCAAAGGCATTTCCAAGATATTCTATAAATTTTACAGTCGTTCGTTAAACGAGTACGACTGAGACAACCATTTTTTATCACAACTGTTCTACATAGTGACTTCATTTCCACATTGTGACGTCACAAACAAGGAGCAAAACTTTATTCAGCATATGCTTTTTATAGAATTTGAATATGGCTATGTATATACCATTTTTTTTGTAATCTGAATTGTCGTTTTGTAGATATAGAGATAGTTCTCGAACTTTCTAATCACCCTTCGTAGCTACTGTGTCCCCGTGGGGATCCGGGTTAGAATAGGTCCTCAGTACCCCCTTGCTTGTCGTAAAAGGCGACTAAATGGGGCGGTTCTTCGGATGAGACCGTTTAAACCGAGATCCCGTGTCACAGAAGGTGTGGCACGATAAAGATCCCTCCCTGCTCAAAGGCCGTAAGTGCCGAGCATAGGCCAAAATTTGCAGCCCTTCACCGGCAATGGTGACGTCTCCATATCAGTGAAATATTCTAGAGAGGGACGTTAAACAGCATACAATCAATCAATCAATCGTAGCTACTGTGATTTTAAAATCAGAGATAAAATATGGTCTTGTAAAGATTATTTGTAAAGACTGAAAAGATTTTAAAATACTCTTTTCAGGAAATAACCTCATTCACAAATTAAAGGTAGCAAATAAAACATCGTTGTACATTGCCATAACGTTGACTAATGGAACAACCCTATATGAACGATATGACCAGTTCTACATCACTGATGAGGCTGATGGCTACAGACTTAACCTGACGGGAAAATCAACAGGAACTCTGGGTAAGGGCGCTAATTTCTGAATTTAATAAAGAATTTATATGATTGTTTGATTGATTGATCGTATATTGTTTAACGTCCCTCTCACTCATATGGAGACGCCGCCACTTGTCGGTGGAGAGTTGCAAATTTTGTGCTATACTTGGCACGCAGGACCATTGAGCAGGGGGGATATTTTTTCGTGCCAGCACTTACTGCGACAACGGAACCTCAGTTTATACGGTTTCATCCAAAGAACCGGTCTCCACGTCCCGCAGTGGGATTCGAACCCTTGACGCGTAAGGATCAATTCCTTACCTCGCGACTCTGGAGCAGAGGCTCCAATCTCTGGGCCACGCGGGCGACTCATTTATATGATAAAATTAGTGAGAATTGTTGCTTGAAGGGTTATCTAAACCTGTATGAAATGAAATGAATTTGCTTTTGCAGATTACATACTACACTACTTTTCTCGAAGAAATTCATTTCACGAAACATTCAAGCTTGAAATTTAAACTCTTTTTGTGCAACAAATTAATTTCTTACTTCTTAATGAATGCGGTTTGATGCCTTCAATTATCTTATTTAAGTTTCTATCAACAAAAGGCTTGGCACACTATGCAATTGTTTAATTGACTATTGGCTTGAAATCAAATTGCTAACTATTTGTGATACTAGTATATTATTTGCTAATTACTAGACGTATTCAAAATCATAAATAAATAACTAATTGATGTTATACGATTGATATATATAAGAAAATGAAATATCAATAAGTAAAAACATGAAGATTACATTCTATAATGTGTATCTCTTCCTTGAATTTTTAATTTTATTCATTTATAAACTTTCATCTGAAGAACAAAGAAAAAAGATAATAATGAAGCAAAAAGAAAGACAAAATCATAAAAGAAAGATAAGCATATGTACGAGGGTTGTTCGAAATGTTCGTGGACGATATCAATGTTCGTTACATTACTCACTAGAAATTTAAAAATAAGCACAAATAATATGTAAAAACATTTGGTTTGTTGATATGTGAAGTATCATTCCATTCGATTTAACAAGAATCAATTTACTTCTTTTTAAAATTGACATGTTTTGTACCCGCGGAGCACACTTAACGGCAATGTAACGTCAAAACATAGCGTTAAGAATTTTTAAAAAAAAACACTATCCCTAAACATTTCACACAGTATAATCAAATGCTCACTTTATAAATTATTTTTCTAATACATGACATTTATTTTTTAAGAATTGCTCTTGTTGTATAATTTCCTTTGTAAAGGTTTTAATTTCTTTTATTACTTAAATCTGCTTTCACGGGATACGCAACTCTGGAGCGCATATGTCTTTCCTTGACGTTCCAACTTTTTAAAGTTTTTGATAGGATGTATACAGTTAAACCGTGCTTCACAGATTGTCTTCATCCGATACAGAGTCTCTGTCACTCAAATAATGACTGTTCTATTTGTTCACACATGCACAACTCGCTTGTGACATATTTTCTAGATTCCTCTTTTTATAGTTCATTAGGGTTTTTTCCTGAGTAAAACAGAAAATTGCCTCGTATCTGCTGCTCCGTGACGTTCTAAAATGTCATCGTTTTTGTCGTTTTCAATAAGCACTACCTATCCTCTTAAGTTGATTTCTTTTCAACAAAGCACAATATAAAGTCGTAATTTTGTATACGAAACCATGTAACAATTCTTAATTTGAGATACTAGGTTTTTTTTTTCTTTTGGTTTTTTGTTTTTTTTTTGTTTTTGCTCCATTTTACAGAGAATATGACTATAGGCATTTTATAGCGTTTTGTCTGTAACTTACTAAATTTTGACCTGCTCCGCGATCTAATTTATGCATTTTTAAAGTGTGGATGCCTTTTGAATAAATCGTTATATTTTGGAAAAACTTAGTACAAATAATTTGGATTTATTGTAAAAATATTTCTACCAAATTTGGATAACATATGAGGTCAAAAAAAGATATGACAGTTGTCCACGAACTTTTCGAACAACCCTCGATACCTGTGATTCAAGCACAAAAAGTATCTTTTTTGTGCAAGCACCTTTTGCGACACGGGATCTCGATCGGTTTATACATTTACGGTGTCATCCAAAAGACCGATTTCCACGTCTTACAGTAGGATTCGAACCCGCGACGTAGTGATCAACTCCTTCCTTCGCCACTCTTGAGCAGACGGTCCAACCACTGGGTCTCTTTAGAACTTTTTGTGTTCTAATGAGGTCCATTAAGCCAATACTTCCATTCATACGGGTGCTTCAGTTCGCTCAATAATTCTTTGGGGGACAATTTATCGAGCTTGTTACTTGTTATACAGTATTAAATTAACGCAAAAGAAAAAAAATCATATATACCGGTACTTGTTACCCTCAATAAATTGGACAATGTTCACTTAACAATTGACAAAAAGCTATCTTACAATAGTTGTGTCAAGCAGAAAAAATGATGATTGATTTAATTGTTCCATTTGATATATACCCCAATTAATAATCTTTTATTTAAAATTAATTATTTTGATTAAAAATTTACAGATGTGTGACTTCACTTATTTTACAAATAAAATATATTCAACGAATCTATCTAGCATTAGTGGCCCTCAAAAGTAATATATGATTACCTTTCTTTTTGAATATCAAAATTTTTATTATTATTGTGCCCCCACCGCAACTGTAAAAACTCCTTACAGACCTGGAAGAGATACATATCCTTACATATCCGTTTTTACTTGCAGGTACATACATAATGTCTAATGAACAAATTATATTTAGAATTCAGAATAATGATATCTTATTCATTTTATTGTTATTTTTAAAATACAGCCCTTTAGTGTTATTAACTGATTTTCTTTCCTTGAATAGGAGATAGTATGACACCCTCTTATAGACACTGGAATCTGAATGGAATGAAATTCTCCACAGCTGATAGGGACAACGACATGTATCCAGGAGGACCATGTGGAAGTCGGGAAGGAGGCTGGTGGTTCAATCATTGCTCGCAATCATTTTTGAACTCCGACTACTGGTATCCACCGTGGGCGCCAACGATTTTATTGAATAAATGATAAAAACATGCTCATCTGTCTTTGAAACTGTTAGGCTAGCAAGTAAATGGTAATTTTTTTTATAAATTTTTATTTTTTTAAAATGTATTTTAAACGTTCTCAAGTAAAGCTTCAAATGCATGTCTGAGATTTTGAGTCTTTAAATGAATGCAAAAACATTTTCTGTCATATGAAATTGACTTAAATATCTCTTTGTTGAGAAAAAAAAAACGGTAAGTCAGGTGACGTACATGTACATTGTATCTTTTAAATATCTGATATTTTGTACGCCCTCGTTATATATCAAATTTAAAAAAACTTATACACATTTTCTATTTTGATTTAAACACTTTATTGTTGATAAACGTGTTCTCTGACCTACTTTAGAGATTGAAAGGTGAATAAAACGTCAACAGTGATTTGAATAAAAATTTACAAAACAATAAAAACCCATGAAAAGAGGACATAAAACTCAGATCACTGGGAATTCCGGAGATGGAGTCAGTTGCGTTAAGAGAAATAAACACCCCCTGTTGACCAGGCACATGCGTTCTTTTTGTAGAGATTCAATTACTGTTACATGTTTTCTAAAATACCATGTATCAAGCATCATTTTTGGTTCTTGTTTTCTTCTTTAGTGCTTCCTCATCCAAATGTATTGTTAGAACGTCTGAAACCCTTTATACAACAGTACAAAGTTCTTGCATTCATGATATGCTCTTTGTAGTAACGAACCATGGAGAAAAAAATCTATTTGGCCCAAATTTTATAGAATCTGAATTGTTTGTGAAGTTTTTCTAAGGTCATTCTGCATTTAATCTGTGCACTTCAAAAACTGAATCGAAAGAAATACAGAAATACCTATAAAGACTTTAAACGTTTGAAATCTTAATCTGGATGCGTTAATTATATGCCCATCCCAAAAACTTACCCCTAGTATATGCGGTACCAAGTATCATACATGCATGGAGCAAAACCGCCTCTTCTTATTGACATTTATAATTTTTAACTCTTTGTACAATTTGCTTATATCTGAACTTAAATTGACTTCGTACAGTGGATTTATTTATATTTAAAAATTTGATATGAATAGTAATTGATACTATTAGTTTAAGAACGACTGACAATAACCTCTTAACAATTACGAACTTGGTAACAAACTCTGAGTGACAAGATACAATAAGAAGAGTCTTCATTTTGCGAACAATAATTCCACGATGTCTTCTCTAACATCGATCTTTCCAATCAGACTTTGAGCAGAGCTGCAACCATCTAATTAACAGAGGAATGTGCAAGATACAAAATATTAATGTAAACAGGAAACGTTGCTCCATCCTAAGACGAGTTATAGGGCTTCAGTAATTAGGGATGGACTATATTAATTACGTGACACTGTTGCTTGCTAATTGCATTTACCAAATACATGGTCCCTGTTATGCAGTTTCTTGTACGAAGGTGTGTGCATAGAATATCAATAGCTTTTGATATTTAACTGATTTCTTCGTATGTATTAATAATATCTCTCAGTTTTCAAAGATAAATTGGCTTTCAGACAACGGTTTCAAAATATTTTGGATCAATCAAAAGTTAGAGGAATTTTGATTTAATTCTACAAGTGTTTATCTAACTTATACTCAGTCCACATTCTGAGAAAAGAATTCTTCAAAATCATAGTTTAGTTTTGAATATTTTAATATTCCAAAAAGCCAAAATGAATTTGAATTATCATATCTGTATTGGATTCCGAAACTTCATAAAAATCCTTACAGGAAATGTTCAACCAAGCTTCTTTCCTTACTTCTCACTTAGATATTAGTAGTAGTAAAACAGAAACTTCAAGAGTACTGTGCAACAATATACATGTATTCGAGAAAGGGGGTAAATCCAATTAATCTTCAAATTGATACTTAAACATACCAAGGAATTTTTGGAAAATTTGAAATCACAAAATCAACAGATTATATTAACCTTTTCAGCTTTTAACACAACCATTCCCCAGATAACTTAAAATCCTTTTTAAAAAGTTTGCTTTTTTATATCTGAGCTGCTTTTAAATTAAAAATAGAACTCGAAAATGTACTTACCTTAAGCTTGTCATTGGTCATTTGCAAAATTATTTTGTAAAACAATTCTGATTGTACACACAAGTACTCTGAAACTGACAATAAAAAGATGCTCGAGTTTCTGACTGACAATATTTATGTAGTTTTTGTGGACCAGGTCTTCGAACAATCTATTGGAATTCCCAAGCGTACATGTACCGGGTACCAATTGCACCCCGTTATTAGCAGACTTACATTTTTTCTTGATATTAATTAAGTTGAATTTGTCCAAAATCTCATTCGTGAAAAGAAGGAAATACTTGCTGTGGTCTTCAACTCAACGTTTAGATATATCGACGACGTATTGTTAATTAAAAAATGTCATTTCCATTTTTATATCGATACGATATATTGCAGTGAGCTGAAGATAAAAGATACCACAGAGTCTGACACATGCGTTTCATAATTAGATATTTTACCTGAAAAAAAACATTAATGATAATCTCACAACCAAGCTTTATTATAAACGTGATGCTCATGATGTGCATTACTCATACTACAATATACCTTCATCACTTGCATACGGTGTTTATATGTTTATATCTCTCAGATGATTCGATACGCTAGAGCATGCTCGACGTTTGCACAATTTGTAAACGAAGTAAATTATTGACAAACAAGTTGATGAAGCAATAATATTAGCAGTCTCGTTTAACGTCATCCTTTTGTAAGTTCCATGGTCGATACAATGACCTTGTCAGCAAATACAATTTATTATTGAGACACACCAGACTGACGTTTATCATACTAATTGTTAGTCCATTATTTATCCACTGAATTGACGAAGGATTTTTACGTTATTCCCAATTATGCCAATTAAAAGAGCTCACGGCGGGTCGCTGTGTGACCGGTCGGCAGAGATTCCCACTCATCCATGGCACTTTATCCAACCTCTGATTTTTTGGAGTCCGTGTTTGCTGTGATCCTTCTTTGTGTAGTGTAACGGATTTTTGAGCTTGAATACTGTTCGTTATCTACATATTTTTCATTTATCCATTTTTTTACTTTCAAAGATAAGGTGCCCATTCGAAAAGGCAATGAAAGAGAATATGAAATATTTTAATAAAGCAAACCAGGTGTAAGGAACAAATTTTTACATTCTTGGTTTTAATTCTTTGCTTCAGTAATCACTATCAACAAAGTATTCTCGGTAGCTAAATCGGTAGAGCATTCGCTCCGTGATAAGGAGGTCATGAGTTAGACAGACCTAAGTCGATAAAAAAAGGGGGAAACAACTGTCTTGGCACTTGAAGTGAAAGATGCGGGTTCTTCGGATTAGACCCCAAAAATCCGAGGTTCTGTGTCACAAAAGGCGTTGGGACGTTAAAGATCCCTTACTGCTCAATGGTTCTGAGTGCCGAGTAAACGTCAAAACTTGAAGCCCTTCACTGGTATATGGTGACGACATTACATGAGTGAAAAAATCTCGAATGGGACTGTAACGTGCCCGAGGTATGAGGCTTATGTAATTTGATCAAATCTCCAATGAAAGAGATATATTTCATTGTAACCAATATATATGGTATTTCCTGGTAGTTTTGGTAAGTAAATCCCTGTGTTGGTCAGTAAAAAACTTTGCAGAGGCAAACAAGAGCACAACATAAGATTATGTAAGTTTCAACAATGTTTTAATAAAGGAATAAATGTAATACAAATGACTTGATAACCAAATAAACAATGGTGATGTAATACATTTGGTCAGATCTGACGTCACATATTAGGATTTGGTAACGTTATTATGATCATTTGGTAACGTTATTATGATCATTTGGTAAAGTAATTATGATTTGGTAACGTTATTATGATTTGGTAAAATGGTATCTGTTGATTTTCCGAATAAACCAATTTCGTCAATGTAAGCTATAGTAAAACTTCGTAGAGACTGTTGAATGCCTTTAAAAATCTATTTGGTCAATATAATCTATTGTAAAAACTCCCCAAGCATTAGGTATTTCAGTATTTACGTACTATTTCTATGAAAGTTGTTGAGCAGACGTTCTGCAGAGTCAAACTGAAACCTCAGCGTCCGTGGAGACGCTTATATAGGGTAAACTACCGGACATGCGCAGTGCGCTTTACCTAACCAAAAAGAAAGTATAGACCAAAATGGCAGACGATACTAAAAACATCACCGAAGTGGGACAAACCATGAAAAATACGAACTATGTGACGCCGAATCGTAAAACAAATACATAGTAATAAACAATAAAGGTAAGTTGCATAAAAATGTACAATACAAGTTGCGTATAAGTTAACAATGATAAAATAATGATGTTCGAGGACGGAGAACAATAACCTAAACCCCCCTTGTAAATTAGAATCTTCCGAATCGCCATGACCAAAAATGAAAACAACGTGATCGATAGACACACATGAAAAACGGTATTTACGATCAATTTACACAATGCATTGTAAGTTAATTGTAATAGACATTCATAATAAATGTTGGAATAATTGTAGGAGTCCATATTTTTACGTATCCATGAATTCACAGTCCATATTTCACATCGCGGTAAACTTGGTCATTTACCAAACATGAAAGTGTAGGATTTACAAAACATGAAATAATAGGAAATTACCAAACATCATTTTTATAGTATACTTGGTAATGTTTACATTTCAAATATAATTGCTGTAAGAGAAATCATGCACAAATAATGTTTACAACAAATAATTATACACATATGATATGTAGAGGGGGGGGTGTCTCAAAACACAAATATTTCTCAAGGACGTAAAACAACATACAATCTATTAATCAATCACTAACACCAAATGAATATATGACTATAAAAAAATAACACACTGAAAACACACAATAGTTATTAAAGTTTAATGCTTTTCTTGCTGTGTTATATCCACTGATGCATTCTAGTAAACGTATGTTTAAATCATTTAATTAACATCATTTTTTTTTATAGAGAATTGTGTAACTAGACATCGAAGTTTCCCATTATGGGGCCTCGATTTCGTCTAAATTCTGATTTTTTTTTATCTGATCATCATCTTTGTTTCATGGACAAGTGTCCTGTTGGGCACCGTGGGGACCCAAAGTCGCGCTTCGTCGTCGTCCGAGTTCAGATAGGTCCATCCGCATTGATTAAACCACCACCCTCCGGAATCCGAACATTTTCCATCTGAAAATCCATCGTTGTCTCTATCAAATGTCGAAAATTGCATTCCATTGACGTTCCAAGGAGGCCAGTCATCTCTCAAACTGTCTCCTACAGAATTAAAATCATAACATTTAGGCAAGACTTAGGGTAATTGCTCAAAAATATGTTCATATTTGATTGAGAGATAACGTTTCGGGTATACATATATATAATTTTAAATTATGAAATGACTTCAAGCAATTATTTTTAAATATCAATGACTTTGGTCAACTTCTGAAATTACATGCTCCAATGGAGGATATGGAGATAACGAACAGTATCCAATATCAAAGTCCATAAAACAATACAGAAAGTCCGGGCATTTAATTGTTAATCTTGTCCGTCTGTCTCTATTTCCGTCATGTCACACCATAGACCTGAAGTAGAGCCAGCTTTAGATCTTTAGTCACACTATCCTATTACTCAACCAACTTTTTAAGCTGTTGCCAAATAATCTTTGTTGACTTTGCTTTGAACTCATGCAAAACATTTTGAAATTGTAAATTTCACCTTTAAAGGTTGCAAATGAAGGGTAAAAGATAATGTGAAATCTACACAAAAATCTGGCTCCCTTTTGCTTATATTGTTTGGTAGTTGATTTCTTTTTTGGAATATGATAGGGAATGTCTTTATGTGCAGTAAGGTTTCGGAATAACGACACGTTGAATTTTATGCTGATTAAGGGTCAAAATGACATTTTTGAACACAAACATGGTCAAAACCTTAAAGTAAGAAAAAGGGTATCATTTTAGACATTAGTTGGTCAGTAAATACGGGTACATTCTGGCTTTATAAGATTTGGTCAAATAACCAGCTTCTATTATTGTATATAAAAAAAAACTACTGGGAGTTAAAACTTCAACATGTACCCTGGCTGTTTATCGTGAATTAGAAAGAACATTTCGCATTATTAAATATTGGCTTAAAATTCTCAGATCAAAATACTGCCTAATAAGGTCAAGTGTTAACTATGATATTAATAATATGGCTCCAAAGTGGATTATTTTTGTTAAACAGACCCTTTTGTCACATGGTTTTGGAGATGTGTTGTATTTCGCCGAGTCAGTAAATGAAAAGGTCTTTTATATGTATTTCGAACAAAGACAAACTGATTGTTTTTTCCAAAAACTGAGAGTAGATATAGAAAACACTCATCCTCTTAAATTGTTTAAATATCTAAACCTGACTATACAACAGGCTGAATATCTTAATTGTATATTATTTTCATGAAAAAAAGACAGAAAAACATTAACTACCTTATTGTCTACTTATACCTGATATGATCAAAATTGAAAAATTTTATATACTTCATTTTCTTTTAAAAATTGGAAAAATATATTAAAAATATTATTATGAAATTTGTGTTTTTTATATACTTTTAAAAATTGAGAAATTTGTGTTTGAATGTTTTGAAAAGAGGGAAAACTTTACCATACAGCAATATCAATAATACGAAATACACCTGCAAAATTCCTTTTTGTTTTAGGATTTTTTTTTACATACATTTTTCTTCTGTAAAATTATGTAATAGCACCTGTGTAACACTTGTTTACCAATGTATATAAAGTAATGTTATATATTGCAATACGAGGGGTGATCAAAAAGTTCCCGAGCTAATTGAATAACTTCCATTAATGAAATAATATTTGATTTTAGTGTTGATTATATTTTGAATTAGTTATCTCCAATTTTAATACATATCTGCCACAGTTCTGCTCATGCGCAAATTACGTGATATAGGTGGTCACATGACCCCGTCCGTTGCGTTCTGTCACAGAAGCTGAAGTATTTTTCTGACTTTCATATTTCTTTCCATGCAAATTAATTTTTATAACAAGAACAGTTCATTTGTTAGAAATGGTCAATTCTCGGCAACAGAATGGGTGGATAAGAATGTTATTCCCAAACATGAGCATCGTGACCATCAAAACCAAAATCTTCTGTCTTGGGAGAGACGTTTATACAAGGTGGATACAGAATGGATGCCTCTTTTTTTAAATCATATCTAATATGTTTAAAATCTAAAGTAAACAATTTCCTAGGTATTTTATAATCATATCATTTTCAAATATTCAACTATTTTTTCAAACTGTAAATTGAATGTCTTTGATATCAAATTGCTTAATTAAAACACATCTATTTTCAAAATTGCTTTCACTAGACAACATAACAAGGTTCATTTTCAACCACCTGCCTTCCTTCACTAAAACGATCAATCCGATCATTGATTAAATTCATAGGAAGTGTTTTGTCTTAATTAATTGTGTATAAATTATATATTATACGCTACTGCAAAGGAATTTCCAAAATACTGTAAACGTATTACATTTGGCGATGTATTCTTTTTTAGCGTTTTTGGCGGAAAGAAGCTTCCGCTAATTCAAGTACAACGCTAAATGACTTAAACATATCTACATTAATAAGAACATTAAGAAATGCACTAAATCAAATCTACGCTAACTTGTTCAAATATCAATTTCCGCCACATATTGTACACGTCAAATATAATACATTTACAGTATACCATATACTTTACAGTCGTCCGTTGAACGCGTACGACTGAGATAACCATTGTTTGTCACAAGTTTTCTACATAATGAGTTCATTTTCCCATTGTGAAGTCACAAACAAGGAGCAAAACTTACTACAGCATATGCTATTTATAGGAATTGTAAATGGCTCTGTGTGAACCAATTTTTTGCTTCTGAATTGTGGATTTTTAGATATAGAGATAGTTCGCGAACTTTTTGATCACTCCTCGTATATGTAATGCACGTATACGCCAATAAGGGTACTAAATACTTAATACTGTATATCCAAATAAAAGGATTTTAAATAGTAACATTTTTTCTTCACAATACTTGAAATAAAACAGTAATAAAACAGCCAAATGTAGAAGAGTGGACTTGAGCTTAAAAACGATCTGAAGAGAGATATTTGCATTGCAGAATTTGCTAATGTGTCACTTTTAAGGAAAAAAATAAGCAACCAAATATTCAAAATATATTTTAAATTAAAATGATAGTGGAAAAGATTTAAAGCAATACAGTGTAAAAAGATAAGCCTTAAATATTGAATGAATTTATGTTGATATGTAATGTTTTCAATGCATGAAAATTTATCTGCAACAATTATAAATCAAGAGAGTACACCAAAGAGAGGAGTACGTTTCCCATACCTTTTTACATCATCATGTAATGACAACCTGTTCATCAGATTTTTTTTTTTACACACCGAATTCTTTACAAGCTTTATTCAATTCAGAAATAAATGACATTACCCAGAGTTCCTTCTGTGTTTCCGGCTATACGGAGCCTGTAGCCATCGGTCTCGTCTGTGATGTAGAACTGCTCATATTGCTCATACAATGTTGTTCCATTTGTCAATGTTATAGCAATATACAACGAAGTTGTTCTTTCGACAGTCAAGGCATGAATGAGGTCATTTCCTAGAATCAATTTAATTTAATAATTGTTTTCAATATGGCATTCAATTTTCATTAAAATATTGCTTGATTACTGTTTTTAGTTTCAATAGAGAATTTTTATTATATATATATATATATATATATATATATATATATATATATATATATATATATATATATATATATATATATATATATATATATATATATATATATATATATATATATGGACATCAGCATATGCCGGTAAAGAGCTTCAAATTTAAACCACTGTTCACTAATGATGGCTAGCCTATTTGTCATTGAAAGATCTTTCTCGTGATTGTCTATTGTGTTACGAGCCATGAGTTTTTAAAGTCTCATCCGAACACACACACAATGTTCAGTTCTAAGATCCCCGCAATGACTATTTACCATTTATTTCAATCGATTTAAATCAGCCGTAGTTTGAAAACACGCTTTCCAGTAACGGGACAATTTTATACGTACTGAACTACCTTGACGATTTCCATTATTATAATTTTGAAGGCTTTAAACAGGTGTATCATTTTTGTGCTATTAACGGAAATCTTAAATCCTTAAAAACGAAGTGTAAAATATTTTATAAAGCGTATGCACGAAACAATGTCAGTCAACGTTTATTTTTATTTGAGGCAGGTTTTGACCACATAAAGTGTCCATGAAGCGGAGGAGCCTGAACCAGCGATATTAGATTTTCCTGGAACAAGAGATATTTGGTTGTGCCAGAAATTCTAATATCGATGGTTCATGGGCACTTAATGTGGTCAAAATCATAAGTCAAGGAACTTAATTTGCTTTTACTCAGTTTATCCACTTATAATCGCAATTGCAACTTCTCTGGCCTTTCCGACTAGCGGAAAAACGACCTCGAATGAACAGGGTGTCCAAAAACATATATTACACATTTGATCATCTATAACTTAATCAAATCAAAAGCTTTCACAAAGATATTTTGTCAACATCTAGTGTATTAGCATACATTTTATATGACAAACTTTCGGGAAATTCTGTTTAGAAGTCAGGGAATTATAATGTTCTAATGATGTCATCATATTTTTAATATGGAACCTTCATATGAACAGCTGGTAGAAATTGTAATCTTTACTTTAGGTCTAAATCTGCTACTTTAGTCATTAGAACCATGAGAAAACAACATTATTTGATGAAAGTGCTCAACATAATATTAATTTACAGTTTTATGAGGGAGCATGAAGTTAAAGGCACCATAATTGACACATTACTTAATTCGGGTATTAGAAAGACTAGGGAGTGCCCCGACCAAAAAGAACGTTAGTACCATTGATAGAGTTATTACTGAAACTTTACAAAAATCCCTTAGACAGGCCTTACATTCATGAACAAGATAGCACCTTTGGTAAATCTAGTATTTATGAAATACCCTTTGATTTAAAATTGATTCCTTACAAGATATGTGTAATGTAGCATTTGAAAGAGACAGAAATTAGAAGTTGTTTAGAGTTTTCCCATTGGATTTGAATAAGACCCAACTCTGAAAATTTAACGGATGTATGGTTTTCCGATGAATTGCAAAATGACACGACCAGAAATATTAAAGGTGTTAAATAAATTTGCAGCCCTTTTTTGGTATTTGGTCTCATTTCATAATAATTATAAGATTCTACTTGGAATGTTACACAAGTAAAAACATAATGAAACATATTAATCATAGTGCTTTATCGATAGACACTACACAAAATTAGTTTTCAATTAATTTATCATTCATAAGCTACTTCAAACCTATTTTAAATACATTTATTGTTCATAACCCACTATCCTTTTATGTTCAATAATTGTAAGGCGAAAAAAGAATAAGATAGCAAACATGATCAGAATGGACAGGTTCTTGTTGACAGAAAAGGTAACAAACAACAAGTCTTTGTACCGCTTAATATTTTAAAATTTTTATTCAGAGAAAAATGTTCTACCAATCCTTTTTCTTTACTCCTCACTAAAATATTAAAATAGCGTAGGACACACTTCAAGAATAATGTCCTTCAACATATTCAAAAAGTGTTTTAAATCAGATACTTAAAAGTTATAAAGAATGTTTGGAAAAATTGAAATCACAAAATTTTACCAAAATCAACGACATGAAAACCTTACGACTTTTTTTAAATTCATATACAACCATTTGCAAATGACACTCGTAACTACTATCCTTGCCATTGGTCATTTGCATTTTTTTAACATTCTGATTGTACACACGCGCACTTTAAAGTTTATATTTCAACGAAATGTTTGAATTTCTGATTGACAAGAGCCGTGTGGTTTTTCCAACAATCTACTGGAATTGTCATGCTACCATTTGTACCTATTTTGTATTCAGATGATGCAGAATTCGTTCAAAACCTTATGCGTGAAAAGAGGAAACACATGCTTTCAACTTGAAATTTAGGTGTATCGACGATCACTGTCAAAAAAAAAAAGACGGGTTAATTCCCCATTCTTTTGTCGAAAAAATTGGGCACTGTATTACTACTATTATTACCCTATTTTCTTTAAAATTGTTTTAAAAAACAGAACCACATAGATTGTGTAACTATAACCATATACAGCACTCTCCTATACAATTGAATGAAATGCTATTTAAAATATTCATGGACTTTTCACCAAGAAATAATTCTGAAAATCAAGAAGGGCGTCCGGCATACCCCCATACCCACGACCCTCTTTTTTCGATAAGCAGGTGACAAAAATTCTCTGAATAACCTTGTTTGATTTTTTAGATCGATCACCCTTTTAATTGCTACATTTGTAAGGTTTACGTGCACACAATAATTTCTAGATCCTGGCAAATATGGTGATCGCTTCATTGCAGTCAATATCTTGGGAATTCGGTTTTTTAGTGTCATCTTTTTAAGTCATTTGAGAATCCAGTAGGGAAATGAAAATTGAAATTCATTTTGATCGTTAGAAATATTAAAATATCAGTTTTATAATGATCTTGAAGAATATCCTTCTTGAGAGGGAAAGTGCATTTATGCGTAAAAATGAGCCTTATGAACAAGGGACATATTAAAACACGCCAATGGGTATTTATTTTCAGATAGATCCATTTAAATTGAATGCACGATCTATCTTGTAATCTCTTCTGAATAATTGAAGAAAGGTGAATAATTGCTTTTTTAAGAGCCACTGAATCGTCATATTTGAAATTCAACATCATTCTGATTTTTTTATGTACATTTATATTTAAATCAATATTTTCTGACAGTGTCTTTTTATTTTTGTTAAATTCCAAATTCTAGCATCTTACCTGCAAACAAATAGTAAGAAATACATGTTACTTTAAAATAAATTGCAACATTCATATAAAGAGATAAGAAGATATTATCAACCTTTTGAAGCTTATCCATAATTCAGAGTAGAATTTGTAAATGACCATGAAATTAAAATTGTGTGTATATCTCCTCTTTTATCATATTAATGAATATTTATTTATTTAAACAAACATTTTGGAATTACTCGGTATAACGAGTCTCACATGATCGAATGACACTTAAACTGAATTTTAAATTTCTTATTTTATAGGTGATCCTTAGTATGATTTCTTTTTGTTAATTAGTTATATTTATTGGTAATCAAATTGATCCAATATATCGAATACACAATACTTGTACAACAATTATTTTCATCTATTTGCAAAACAGGAAAAAAATGCTTCCCATGCATGTCACTCATTAAAACATTATTCAAATAATCAATTTTTATCCTCTCACGACGGAGTTGGAAGGGGAATATAGAAACCTAATAGTGTGTGTTGTTGTTTGTGGGTGGGTTAGTGTTGAGCAAAACGGAAGTGACTTCAATTGCATCGGGATCGATGTCAAATGCCGTCTTGATTTATAGATATGTTCTTTGCGATGCTTCGTTTTTTGGTGTCCTTTTTTAAAAATTTAGATTCAATCAGTACACTACTTGTACGTGATGACAAACATCATTATATCAAAGATTTGAAAAAAAAATGTATTTGTTAAATTTTCTTTTACTTGGACGTTGAATTAAATTTCAATGTTTATTGATCAGTTAAGGTCTATAAAGACGTCATTAGTTGATTTAGATATTTGTGTACACTTTCCAAAAATATAAAGATATAAATAGTTGAAAAACAAAATCGTGAAAAAACTGAATATAAGTCAATTAACCTACCTAGCCAGTATTCTCTATCCTTTGATCCGAATCCTCTCTTGTATTCATTCCATGCTCTGTTGAATGGTATACCGTAAGTACGGCGTTGTATAACCTGCATGTACAAAAAAAATTTGGGAATATTTCTCAAATGAAAGAATATTTTATAGCGAACCTCAATATGAGGCTGAAGAATATCTGGAGATGGAATATAAAAGTAGAAATTCTAACAATTGTTTTATAACCTAAAATGTACGCTTGCTTAACTTGAATTACTACATGAAATCTATGGAAATAACGAACAGTGGGTTCCAGTAAATGTTCTTCCAAGCCTATTTCTTTACTCCTCACTAAGATATTAACAGTAAAGGAGAAGAAACTTCAAGCGTATTGTGAAACAATATATTCGAGAAGTGTTGTAAATCAGATGTGAATACTTATGAATTCCAAGTAACTTTTGAAAAAAATTGAAATCACAAAATTTTACCAAAATCAACAGCATAAAAAGTTTTGACTTTTCAACTTTATACACAACCATTCCCCACGATAAATTAAAGTGCAAGGTTTTTGATATCTGGCTTCTGCTATTTCAATAAAAATAGAACTTGTTTATTTACTTACCTTTCAATTGGGCATTTGCAATATTATTTTGTTAAAATACATTCTGATTGTACACACCAGTGCTCTCAAGTTGACATAAAACTATGTTTGAGTCTCTTATTGACGATATCTATGTAGGTTTTTGAAGACGGGTTTTCCAACAAACTTTTGGAATTCTCATTGTACCAAATGAGACCTGTTATTAGCAGACCTACATATTTTTTTTTTGTATTTCTGCATTCATATGATGCAGAATATGTCCAGAATCTTTCACGTGAAGAAAATCTTATTGTGGCCTTCAACTAAACATTAAGATATATTGACAACCAAGCTCTATAATAAACGTGATGAATTCAACTTTTCAATCGTTCCCCGAGCATGACAAGGAGAAAACGGCGGGTAGGACCGGTTGGCAGGGGATGGTCACTCATCTATGGAACTTGGTTTTAAAGGTCAGTTTTTGCTTGCTCTCATTTTGTATTGTTTTATCGACTTTTGAGCTTGAATATTTTTCGTTATCTTCATATATTTCATTCAAACTCAGAAATTCATTAAACAATACAAAATAGGAGTAGAGCAAATACGGACCTCCAAAACATCAGAGAAGGGATCAAATGCCATTAAGAGTGAGCATCCCCTGCCGACCGGTCACACCTGCTGTGTATCGGGAAATAACGGGAAAATCGATCAACAATTCAGTGTGTACTAGTATATAGTACCCTAACAATGAGTATGAAAACAGCAGTCAGCATTTGACTAAATGATAAATTGTAATTTTGCTGACAAGGTCATTGTATCGACCATAGAACTTCCGAAATGAAACTGCTGTTATTCTTGTTTCAGCAACTTGTAACCCAAACAATAGATAGATGTAGCGAATAGTCTCTCTGCACCTGAGATACTTCAAAACAATAAGAAAACCTGAATTTTTAAAGATACTGCTCGAAGAATCTATCGGAATTGTATAATATGCAAATTCTACAGTGCAATTCAAAAGTTAATATTCAAAAGTGAACAAACCGTCCACCCCCCTCCATCTGTCCTCATATCACAAAATACGTCTAGAGGTCTCTGTCTGTCCCTCCATGGGTATATTCTGTATACACCAGATAAAGCCGGGACAAGGGCACGTAACTCCAAACAACTGGACGCTTTGAAAATAATATTAAGCATGTTACATCAAATAAAAAGGTGGAAATAAAGTACAATTTCACAAACATGTTTGACTTTTAATACTTACCATATTGAAATGTGTAATATCTCCAATCTCCAGCTTCATTAGAACTGTTTGCGAAGTTTTCACTTAGAAACTCTCGTAATGTTTTACATGATTTCATTCTTGGGCTATATAATAATGCCACACAAGCCCAGTTGATGGCACAATTTGTTGAACACACCACAAGACTAACTCCATTCAATTCAGAAATTTCTTGTGAAATAGTGCCAACGAAAGTAATGAAGTGCTTGAATTTTGGAGTGAATTCCACTCCAAAAACCGAAAGAAATAGTACAATACCAGTAAAAGATATGGTCTGCAGAAATGTTAGTTTGGACATGTCTTTTCATTTGCCGAAAGAAGTATATGTCTAGTTTAAAACCCAAGCTACTAAATAATATTCTTAAATGTTGCATGCCACGTGACATATCAAATGCATCAACAAGTTATTGAATTCCCTCTTTATAACATATGTATATTGTCTTTCTGAGGTTAAATTTTTATTTTAATCAATTTTTAATATCTTCCTCTGTTTATAAAAATGTATTAATTCTCTGGCAAAATATTGAAAGGAGATAGGTAGACGCGCTTTTATGCATATGAGCTAATAAAAAGCACAGAAAAGATATGTAAAAAAAGAGGTTTTCACGTATATGTTTTAATTATATACTGTTTTGCCTCAGTCATTTGTAACTATGTTACATATCTCTATATATATACAATTGTAAAATCTGATAAGATTAGAATAAATGAATTTAAAATTCAATTATATTCCGATTTTGATATTTATGAAGAAGTTATGACAGTGAAGCAAATTGCAATAATTTATTTTTACTTGTTTGTATACATTGTTTTCTCACTTTAATGTGCTCTAGAAATAGAAATAGATAGATAGATTGATTGATTGATTGATTGATTGTATATTTTTTAACGTCCCTCTCCAGAATTTTTCACTCATATTGAGACGCCACCACTTGCCGGTGGAGAGCTGCAAATTTTGTCCTTTACTCGGAACTCAGGGCCATTGAGCAGGGAGGGATCTTTTTCGTGCCAGCACCTACTGCGACACGGGACCTTTGTTTATACGGTCTCATCCGAAGGACCTGTATGCACGTCCCACAGTGGGATTCGAACCCGCGACGTAAGGATTGACTCCTTACTTCGCGACTCTAGAGCAGACGCTCTAACCACTGCGCTACGCGGGCGACGAAATAGAAATAGAGTTGAAAGTCCTTTATGAGTTATCATCCATCATAGGTGTGGTCTACGGGGATATATCAAAATCAAATGGTCAATATATTTGTGTAACTTATGATTGGATATAGTTTTTTTTTTACCCCCTGCTTGAAAATCGGGAGGGTATATTGTAATCGGGATGTCCGTCCGTCCCCCCGTCAGTCTGTCTATACGTCTAGACATTTGTCGGTCCGTCCGTCCGTCCTGTTACGCTTTGGGGTACCATCTCTTACTCTAATATTTTATGTATTTGCAACTCCTCTTGTACCACTGAATGTTTGATGAGACTTAATGAGAATCTTTATTACATTACATTTTTCCATTGTGATCTCCTTTTTTACTTTATCATCCGAAACATATTTGAGGTTTCGCATACCAAAACATGGACACTGCCGGTATATTCATAAGGGAGGCGGAGTATCATTTAGTGAGCTCATTGCTCACAGTACCTCTAGTTTATAAGCATTATGTAAATGTTTGAGAGACATGATAATGTACGTGCTAGCAGAGCTAGATACACAATTAAATGTATATTTTTCAGCCAACTACATGTATGATATCAAAATTAATTTACGTCCCGGGTTCGAATTCTACTGTGGGACATGGAGACCGGTCCTTTGGATGAGACACTATTAACCGAGGTCCCGTGTCGCAGTAGGTGCTGGCACGAAAAAGATCCCTCCCTGCTCAATGGCCCTGAGTGACGAGCCTAGGACAAAATTTGCAGCTCTCCACCGGCAAGTGGTGGCGTCTCAATTTGGTGAAAAATTCTCGAGAGGGACGTTAAACAATATACAATCAAACAATCATATCAAAATTAATTTTTTCTTTTTTAAAAAATCGACGAAACCGGGCCAAAATTGCTCAGTACTATGTGCATAATTATGATATCTATTTCAATGAACTATATACGGGAGTTTGTAAAACTTTCTTTTTTTCAAAGCCTATTGCAATGGGGCTCTTTTGATTTCTTTATTCTTAGAAATAAAAGATGTCGTTTTCATACAAGAAGAGATTGCTGAGCTACATTGTAGCCCTGTAAGATAATAAAACACAGAAGATATCTGCATGAACAATTTGTTGAATTTGCTGATTATAGATTAATTATTAATCGGAAGCTTTAAGGCACATTGGTGCATTGAGGAATAGGTGTGTGTCATAATTCAGAATGGCGTATCTAAAAGTAGGCTTCAAGTCGCCAATGGCATAACTCAGTACTAACTGTGCCTTAAGCATTCTGTCTTTCACTGTAATTTCATGCAAAATTGAAAATTCTATTAAAATAATCCAATGAGTACTGTTTATTTTACTGTAAAATGACATATTTTCGTGGGTTCAAATTTTCGTGGATTGAAGAAAATCTAACATTTTACATTTCGTGGTGGACATGAATTCGTTGGTCACCTCATACCTCGAAAACAACGAAAATTAAACCTCCACGAAAATTTGTGATTTTACAGTATTTGCAATTCACCATTTTGGCAAGCTCGGAAAACATATCCGGGGTTGCCGCAGTTTTCTGGGCTGATCGGAAAGATCCATGAAGGTAGATTAAAAAGCTAGGCATTCATTATAATTTTAGAAACAACAGTCTTGGTTTTTATTAGACCCTAGTTACTGTTACTTTTTGTTTATATACTAGCTTAGACATCAAAATATGAAATTTCGTATCAGATGTATTTTCAAATCATAAAAACTAATTAGATATTTCGTTCTTCAATATTTTAGACACTTTCTAACATCGGCTCATATATTCGTGTCTAAATCACTATCATTTCTGCACATATGCTGAAGCTCTTGAAGAAACTGACTGTCGCGTGTAGGTGAGATATTGAACGTTCGCATTTGAATTGTTTTTGGGCATAACTTATAATATTAAAATACGTATAATTCATATATATGTAGTTGCAATTTCTGCATTTACACTGTTAAAACATGTTTAAAAACGCCAATAGAATGAGGGACCTATGGTTAGTATATATATATAGGTCTCTGAAAGAATGAAGTCAAAATTTCCAGGCTATAGGTTACTGTATTATCTTTTAATAAAAGACTATTCATTGGCTATACACACAAATGTAATAAAATTTTCTACTGTGCACAGAGATCTCCAAATACATGTACTTATTATCTTGGCCAATCATCTGTTTGGAAAGCTGTCAATATCAGACGACTTCATCTTTGATGAAAAATAGCCAGAGAAAAAGAAAAGACGTTAAATGCAGCTGCAGTGATGTAAGTTATCTTTTGACTGGCAGCAATGGAGACACGAGTAAAGGTATAGATTCCACATACATATATATAGTCTGTTAAGCGAAAGTTCTTTGGTTTGCTTCACTTCATTTACAAAGTTTTTAGTTAGACGTTTTTCATACTAATTGTTAGTCCATTATTTATACACTGTACTATCGAGGAGCAAACGGCGGGTGGGACCGGTCGGCAGGGGATGTTCACTCCTCAATGGCACCTGATTCCATCTCTAATGTTTTGGAGGCCCGTGTTTGCTCTGCTCCAATTTTGTATTATTTTATGGACTTTGATATTGAATACTGTTCATTATCTCCATATCATTCATTTGATACTGTGACACAAGACCTTGGTTTATACAGTCTCATCTGAAGGACTGGTCCTAAGTCCAAAAGTGGGATTCAAACCCGCAACATAAGGATCAATTCCTTACTCTGTGACTATTGAGCAGACATTCTAACCACTGCGTCACACGGGCTACTAAATATTCATAAAAATTATAAAGGACATTTACTTTGCTGCTCTTTTTTTCTGAAGGTAATCCTCAAGTATGGCGTGGTTCTGTAGACATCATCATCAAGGAAGACTTTATTGTTCAGAATTTGGAGGAAAAATCAGAAATCTCTGATGGAAAGTTTCTTAAAGATGATACAGTGAAAAAGCTATACTTTGATAAGAAGTCCAAAGCTGGTTGCAGACACTATTGTGTTTTCAAAAGAGGAAGCACCCTGAGTTTTCAAGTTTTCTCATTCCAAGTGTAGGGTTGGCTGAAACAGACATGATGTTAATGTTATATGACTCAGAGCGTGATGTACTTTTAGAGAGTTCTCGTATTTCACTTGCAAGTGAAAAGAAGTTCTCTGTGGAGGCAGTTCTAATTACATGGTTAACTGTTAATTACAGAGTTTTGTGCTCAGGTCTGACAGAAGAAATGCTCCAATACTTCTTTGAAGAAGCCAAGGACAAAATATCTGTATATGAGAATGAGCTAAAACTTCAAATGTAACTTAATTTTTTCCTAGACAACTCTATGAAGTATGTAATTTAAAAAAAGTATTTTATTCTTATATAGCTTTGCTTACATGTACTTCAAGTACCCTAAGAAAATATAAGATACCCCTTGACTGAGTTTTTGAAAGAAATTAAATGGGATCAGCATGGTTGAAAAATCAATTGCAGTTTACAATTATCGCCAACATATGGAGTGCATGTCTCCTCCAGTTTGTTCGAAATGCAAAAGCATGTATTACGAACTATTTGTAGACAAGGAAGCTGTTGACAAATAAGGTGATGGTACAAGGATATCAGGTTTGCTTAAAGTAAGTTTTTTGCAAATTTAATGGTCAATATGATAACCTTATTGCCAAAAATACACTCTGTAAGTGTAATGACCAGTTTTGTATACGAATTGTTAGACCAATATAATAATAAAACTGAGTTGTTTCCCGATTTTTTTTTTACTTTGTCCGATTATGACGAGCAAACAGTGAGTGTGTTCGGTCGACAGGGGACGCTTATTCTCCTATGGCACCTAATCATAGAAGCCTGTGTTTACTCTATATCACGTTATTCCATTGAAGTTATGATTTTGATAACGATTCTTTATCTTCGTATTTCACCTGCTGTATTTTCAGCACA